TTGATAAAAAACAATCTGAGTTGTCTGCTTGTACTGTTTACCTAAAGTAATTAGATTTCCTTGTTTAAACACAAACAGTTCAGACATAAGCCCTATTTACACTACGGAAACCGTACCTTCTTCGCCTGACTCTCCACAAACTTCCTGAATGTTACAGGCGTCGCCATGTTGGTTTGTTTGTTTACCTCTAGAGAGCAGTAGTACCGTAGATCACCACTAGGAGGTGAGGAACCGTGCTGGAGTTGTGTTTAAACGGTCGTAAGCAACCGAGCTCAGCAGCACCATTATACTGGTACCACAGGGCTGCATGGAGACCTGATAATTGTGGAGCTACTCTGGGTTTATTTCAGTTGTATGTTGTCAGGTGAAAGTTGCTCCAGGTTTGTCTCTTCTTTTCTACAGTTATGCATGCAGTACTGGCCGGAGAAGAACTCGTGCTGTTACGGTCCGATCCAGGTGGAGTTCATATCAGCAGACATAGACGAAGACATCATCAACCGGATCTTCAGGATCTGCAACATGGCTCGGGTATCAGAAAAACTTCCTTCTTCTGCAGTAGTTTCCCTGAACAGGCGGAGGTTTTTAAGGAACCTCCCACATAAAAAAACTCGGTTTAAAGAAATCCATGCTCAAAATTAATTCTAGCTTAATGCTCTCATTAAGCCAGAAAAAAGAAAGAAAAAAAACTGTCATTTCAGGTGTTTTATAAAAAAAGGGAGTCAGGACATTGTCTATATACCAAACTGAATGATTGTTGTTCTCTGCTTCAAAAACAGTTTAGATTTTAAAATGGAATTTTTTTTATTTTATTCAAAAATTCAATGTATAACATGGATGCATAAACACCTCATTTTATTTTGGTGTTAAATTCTGTTTAAAGTAACAGATTAGAACTAAAAATGTCTCCAGACCTTAGTGATTTTTAATTGGTCACCCCTGCACTAGGCCAGCTCCTCCTCGTTACGGACATGAGATCCAGTAAACGGGGATGGTCCTGACCCGGAGGTGGGCTGAGGCTTAGAAATAGAGTTTATAGATAAAAGGAATCAATTTTATTTAATGAGAAACTGATTCCAGGTTAGTCATTTATGCAGCATTGAAAGCTGATCTGTGGGAGAACTTTGTTCTCCTTGATTGACTTTTGAAAGGACATTTTTTATGATGAGACTCTTTGTCTTACCTTTTGTTTCTTTCCGACTGTCTCGCTTCTTTTTGTTACTCCCTTCTCATCTCATTTTCTCGCCCATCCATGACGGTACAACTCCAGTGCTGCCCTCTCATCTGTGAGCTCCTACAGTGCTTAGTGAACTCCTCTCCCACCTCCCCTCCATATTCTCGCTCTCTCTCCTTCAAACACATCACCAGTGTAGTGTGAAATGGCTTATATCACCGCCATAACAGCACATCTCATTCTGCCCGAGTCTGAAGCACCAACCACTAAGCCGTCAAATGAGGGAAACTGTGAAAGAGGGGAAATGAGAAAAAAAGAAAAATAGATATAAATCTAAAAAAGAGTGGGAAAAAACCGAGGAAAGAAAAAGGTGGACGAAATGAAATTAGGATAAGAAAGAAAACACAGCAGATGTGCAGAAAGATTAGAAAGAAATGTATCCTTTTTTGTAATACATCTAACACTGAAATATAAAGCCCAGTTTTTAATATTGATGCCAATATTTATTAGGGAGAAACTTCACAGGAAGCGTTTATTCGATGTAAAAAAAAAAAAAGTGTTAGAAGTACGAGTATCAGAGCTGAATTGTCAGGTTGGGTGGATGTGTGAGCAGGACCCGAATGCAGAGACTAAAGCTGAAGTGGTTTCTTGCAGATTTAATAGCAAAAGGGAAACAGAAGCAAGAATCCAAAAAATCCAAAAATACTGGGACCCAGGAATGCTCACAACAAAGGGGCAAATAAATGACAACAAACCAGCAACAGTGACTGAGCTGGAGGTGCATATATGGAAGAGGAATACAAGGACCAGACTAATCAGCAGATTGGGAGCAGGTGTGAACAGAGGAGTCTAGAAGGGAGCTAGGAGAAGGAGACTGACACAAGAGGGCAACAAGAAATACCCAAGAACTCAAACACAATAAAAAATAACTAGAATAACACAAAATGGAAATAAAACCAATGAAAACACAAAGATAAAACTTAAACACAACCAAAACCATGACATAAACACCTTTTATTACAGTATTTTACTACAGTTTGTATATTTATCCAGGTTCACACCTGAACTGAGGCTCTTTGCTCTGGTTTTGCTGAACATTATCATCCTTTAAAAGGAAGTGAACTGGACCCATATTAATGTACAAATAGAGGGCGCCAGAGATTACAAATTTCCTGGTCACATGACGGCAAGCACTCCAATGGTGCGCTCACACCCAGCGCTAATCCAGCTAATAAACCGAGGGATTTAGACACACAGTAATGAAGTGATAGGAAAAGTCACAAGGTGCACAAGTGCGATCGCCCCACTAACCCACCCCCCTCTGGTGGTGGTGAGGCAACGCTATATGTCTGGTCAGCAAGGAATAACCAATGGATCATTATTTATACCTTAAACTAATTCATTTGCGGTGATTTAATGAATTAAGCGTTAATCAGTAGAAAAACAATAATTTCCATTGCGATCACTGATTTTTAGAGCGGCCATGTTTGCCCATATACAATAACATCTCCCTCCAGCCGTCTTCCGGCAG